GAGATTAAGAAAAAAAAGGTGGATCCATCATAATGAGTCAGAGCTGACAGGTATCTAACAGGTATGTAAATGTGTATGTTGCAGCATATAAAAAGTCTCACATGGATCTAAATTACCTTGCAAATTCAACTAAATGACAGTACATTACCTTAACATGAACAGGCCAAAATTCTGATTAACAGTTATATCTTAACTGTTGTGGCTTGTTTCCCACAACTACTCCTTTTGGACTGCAGAGGAAGTTCTGGAAGTTCCAGAGTGTTTTCATAGTACATCACACTCTTTGATCACAAAAGAGCAAGGAAAACTTGACTACTCATGATATGACCCCTTAAACATTAAACAGGAAAGTTTTGTTTAAAAGTTCTAAGCAGATTTTCCCAGCAAATGGCACCATCACTTCTGATTTGTTCTGTGAATTTGAGTTTTGGCACAAAAATCTTGCACTGCTCCTCACAATACAGAAGCTCTGAACTAGAATTAGTTTTTTATTATTAGGACTAGTTTATGCACAGACACCAGTCTAGCCCCTGGATCCAGAGCCTGGACCGTATATCGATCAGTATTGATCTCTATAGCGTCCAGCAGTGAAAGTGACAGAGGGAGAGTGATAATAGGCTGAATTTATGAGCTGCATGTGGTTGTTCGTGGTGATTTATACTCCTGGTGTGGGATGACCTTCAGCACTCTAGAAACAGTCTGTGTGCTGAAATCAAATAAATGACGGTGACACAGTGAAAGGGAGAGGAATCTTATGGATGTCAAAGAGTTGTAGATGAGGATCCTAACATCCTAATGTATCATCACGGCTTTCCCACCAGAGACGCAGAGAGAAACTACACAGAAATCAGTTTTATTTTTTCCCAAATTCCTTTTTGTCCCCCCAAATTCCATTTTTTCCATTTCAATTGTTCTGGATTCTGTTTTAATGGTTAAATTATAGTAGCTATTATTATTATTATTAAAATGTTATTAGAATTATATTTTAGGCCCACATGAAATCTCTTTTTATTTTTTCTCAGATTCTGCTTTATTTTTCCCAAATTCTGTGCTTTCAGTTTTAATGGTTAAATGAAATTTTTGTAATTAAAAAGCATGTTTAATTAATTGAAATCACGAAATTTTTACAATTGACAATTACAAATTTTACAATAACAATTTAACAATTCCTTTAAATTTTTCCCACACAACAGAGGTTTACAGTTGTATGATACACCTTCAAAAATATTATTATTGTTATTATTAAATTATATTAATAATTTATTATATTATTATTATTATTAAATTATAATTATTATTACTTTGAGAAGTACATTTTACTGTACAAAAATAATATATATACATCTGGGAAAATCTCTTCAAGCTAGACCAAAATTTTGACAGATTGTTTTAAAGACCTTTGCGTTTCTGTGTAAATTATTTTTTATCAAATAAAAAGGTGAGATAATAGTGAATTCTCAATGCAGTGACATGACAATAGTTTTTATCAAACTAAATGGTGAAATAATAGTTAAGTGAACTCTCCGGAAATGAAGTTCAGATGTTCATGTCCTCACCAGACAAGTGTCATGCGTACTTGAGTATGTATAGTGGACGAAACCGCATCACTCATTCACACACAGAAAAGCAGAACATACAGATATTTAAATAGCAGTCTTTTTGTGCTTTAGTATTCACAGACATTAGTCTATATCGTAATTCCAAAATCGGTCAAATTCCATGACATTCCACTTCATACTCTAAATTCCATTTTTATTCCAGGATTCTGCAATCCACATTTTCCGTATTGAGGAAATCACAGGGTCCTACTTTATCAATGTTATGATCAACATCATGTAATACATCTGGAGAAAGCGATCTGTGTGTGTGTTCACCTTTATCTGCAGTAGAGATGTTCCAGGAGCGGTGATCTCGGGTAAGCTGATGTTATAAAGCGTCTGGCTGAAGATCGGTCTGTTGTCGTTCTCGTTGACGAGGTCGATGAAGACTCGAGCAAACCCCACATGCTCTGATAGAGACTCGTTGGCATAGAGCTGGAGAGAAGAGCAGCAATGTTACCATCAGCATAAAAAAAAATAAAAAAAATCACATAATGCCAAACACCTAGCGAGCTGCCTATGGAGGATGTATTTTAAGGCACCATCCAAGATAGAAGAACGTTATATTTCATTCAATACTGAAAAATATTAATTAAAAACAATAATCATATACATAAAACAATTTTACATAGCATTTGTGTGTTCCATGTGCTGTATAGAATGCTCCCTTAGTAGGCAGCTACATGAAAGCACTAAACGGCAAAGCAGCTCACTAGGTTTTGGAACAGAGCCAGTTTATTAAATCTAAAGTGTCTGATTTATATCACACTTTTATGAGACTTTTATATCTCTGTGATGCAGTATTTCATTGCTGACAAAAAAAACGTGGGCAAATGAGCAAAAGACATTACTTTTAGATGAACTGGAACAGATGTTTGCAAGAAACAAGGCTACAAACTGGTTGAGGTAGTGCCTGTTTGAGGGAATCTGCTGTACTGGTCAACAACAATTTGTGAGTGTGTTTTATACTGGTGCAGATTGCAATCATTTGTCAGTTCAGCTACTATAAGTCCATCGCTGCAGGGAGCAGCTTCAGCCAGTTAAACTAAATCAACTGCAGAAACACAGCTGAACTCCAGCAGCATGACAACACCGCTCTCTCTATATAGAAGTACCAGCAATCTATTTGTATTACATTTTCCCCATTCTAAATCTCTGTTTAATTTCTCAAAAAACACTATCCTGGCATGATCATCTATTATCAGTGTATTCTAAATGTTCAAATAAAATGGGCACAGATCCAATGCTTTATAGAGCATTACTGTTGTTCATGCAATGTGTAATGTTATCTGTGAATCATAAGAAAGATCCTCCCTGAATCCGAGAACTGATTTTAGCAGACATCCTATAAAACTAACTTAAAATTAAAATCAACTCCATGTACGTGCTTGCAAATTCCTGGTCTTGATTTATCAGCGGAAAGACAGCAGATGTTTGTAAGATACAATGTAATTTTATTTTACTTTTTAAAAAATCTCTTACTTTTCAATTGCTCCAACCACCTGACCCCATGTTCTGCTAAAAATGGCAGATTCTGCATTATGATTGGTCAGATCACTTGTCAATCAAACTTCCTGCCAAGGGTCAATTGCCAATTGCTAAAATCAAGTCCCACTTCATATTTTTTTTTTCATGATGAATATCCAGTTTCACTTGTAAAATGCATTTTATGGATGCAGAATAGGTTGTGTTTTGTGTTGACTTTAAATACTCTGAATATTTGTATGAGACAACTGAGACAACTTAAATTAGATAAATGCCACTAAATTTAGCATTAAATTTGCACATAACACTGCCATATACATAGGCCATTATGCATATTTGCTGGTATATTGAATATACACAACTGTTCAAAGGTTTGGGGTCAGTAAGATTTTTTTTAAAGAAATTATCATTCATCATTATGAATTCATCAAGGAGGCATTAAATTGATCCAAAGTGACAGTAAATACTTTTATATTGTTACAAAAAATCTATTTCAAATAAATGCTTTTCTTTTGGCCTTTTCCATCCTGAAAAAAAACATTGCATTTTCCACAAAAATATTATGCAGCATAAAAAAAAAATTATTGAGAACAAACTCAGCATATTAGAATGATTTCTTAAGGATCATGTGACACTGAAGACTGGAGCAATGATTCTGAAAATTCAGAAATTTAGATTTGCACTCACAGAAAAGCTGTAGCTCCTGATGGTTTCGTAGTCCAGCGGGATGGCCACACGCACACGGAGGTCTGCTCTGCCCTGCACTGAGGTGGGAGAGATGCTGAAGTGCTCAGAGTTATTTCCTGTCAGGACCACCTGAAACATGCTGTTCACCCCCTGTAGAGACAGACGAAATAATTTTGCACCATTGTTTTTTTTTTACTTTATTTAACATTTCATTGTCTATAGCTAAGCAGCAAACAAGTCTCCTTCTCAGGTGTTTCTCCTAAGAAAAAGAACCTTATAAGCATCAGAAATTGCACAAGATACTGACTCAAATCGAATGACTCAAAAAGATCAAAACTGACTCAAATGTTCTGAGCTGCAATGCAGCTGTAATTTTAAAAGCTCTCATTTGCAGGGTTTCTACAGGTTTTAAAAAGGTAAATATAAGACTTTTTAAGATCTTTTTAACACCATGTAAAGAAACCGAATGTAATTCTTAAATCAAGATACATTTACTTGAGAAGCAAAATTACATAAGATGATATTTATTTGTATGAAATTGATGAAGTACGTTCTTGATTAAAACAAGAACAAATATCTGCAAATGGGTTCAGAAAAGTCAACTTAATTCAAAGGAAAAATGTGTTTTAATATCCCATTGACATATTTATTCTTGTTTTAAGTATAAACTAAAAATAAAATGTAACTTTGTTAAAAACTACATATGTTCAATTTGAATCTTAAGTAAATATATTTTGATTTAAGGATGTTTAGATATATGTATTAGAAAACAAATATAGAAAGAACGATTTCTTCAGTGCATTCAACATTTAATGCGATGACTTTATGAATTGAAGTCTTTCTGCTCCCATTGAAAACCTTTTAAGGCCTTAATTTGTGAAAGTGTGAATTAAGACTTTTAAAGGCCTTTTCAAGACCTGCAGAAACTCTGATTTGTGTCTATTTCCCTTTCTCCAAAGGAATTTGAGGGGGAAAACTGTGACTGTTCATACCAACAAATCATGAGTGAGTCATGAAACTCTAGATGATGCAAGCACAGATGCAAGCTGATTGGTTCATGTTGCATATGCAGCCAATTAGCTCACTGCTTTACATCTAAATGGCTGGTTAGAATTCACTAGAGCATTTCACAGCGTGCTATCAGAGTTCCTCTGAAGCCCTCCACCTTCCCCAGCTCCACCTGTATAGATCTAATACGGGTTATTATATACAGTATTCTACTTGTGCAGCAGCAGCATGTCTTAAATACTCACAGCACTGTATCGGCGTATGTATTGGCAGTAGCAAGTTCCTGTACTTGCTTTGCAGCAGCAGCAATAGTCTACAACAACAGCAATAACCAACAGCATCAGCAATTCAGCAGTGTAGCAGATCTATTCTGCCAAGACCAAATATGTTAACATTGTCATATCCATTACCATGCTAAAGAGTTGTCATGATAAAACTCCATTAAGTCTTATAAAAAACAACTATGAGCAAAATTGAGCGTACATCACACCTGCAAAAAGTTCCTCTCTCATCCTTTTTTCAAATGTTAGAGTGTGTTTTGACAGGGATTTTATTGGATGGACTCAAAATAAAACTTTACGTAAAAAACTAATAAAATGTTCTGCAATAATCATTTCTGTCTCCCGTCGCTGTTTCAGGTACAGAGAGATCCTGAGCAAATGGAGAGATGACAGGAAGTCCCTCATTAGTGTCATTCTCTCTTCCATGAGGCCGGTGAGGGGAAGACAGGACATATGGCAGAAAATAAATTCTATGATGACTCAACACTATCTTAGAAAGCGCAATTTTCATACATTACACACACTGCATCACACACTCTGATTGAACACAATGCTAATGTGTGAGTGAGGCAGCTGGAACTTACACTGACGAAGAGATTCGCTGACTAAAAACCACAGAGGTGCGTGAGCTGTCACAACAACTTATGACGAGAAGAAATATCTGGAATATAGTTCAGATGGAAAGCGAAGCAAACATATCGACCCAGACACACACATAAGCACATACGCAAACACACTCAAAAAGCAATAATGTTGAGCATGGTGAGAAGAATCTGTGATTGATTATTCTGTGTGTTTACTTGCTGCTTATCTCTACTAAGTCCACACTTATCTATTTCTACAATCACTCCATCTCTTCGAGTCTCCTTCTCTCTTTCTTTTTTTCTCGTAATCTCTCTCTCACACAAAAAGGAGAAGATGGGTTGAGGGTTTTGCTCTTATCAGATCTCACATGCACACATAGGAACTGACAAACCAACATGGTAGACCTACAAACCATGTGTACTAGTGTATTTCTTAGTGCTGGGCGATTTAGTGAATATTCAGTATGTATTCATGGTTATTTTGCTGGCGATATAAAATTAAGCAACATTATGAATATCGCAGTGGTTTTAATGAGCTTTTTGTTTGGTCATTAAGCTTCCTAAAGAGTGTGTCATTACAGTAATTTAGCAATCCTGCTTGCGACTTATCAGTATGAGAGGGCATCATTGTCATCAGTTCAACCTGTTTCAATAAATACCTGTGATTAATAATATGTTATTGTTATGTTGGTTCATAAAAATGAATGCCAAAATTAAAAATGTTCTTTCATTTAATAAAAAAAAGTGTGAAAAATATAAAAGTAAAAATCTCAAGACGCAAAATACAGTATAGAGATACTGTAATTTTCTTAACGTTACGGGAGACAATAACTAATTATCATACTTTTTACTCCATAAACATTTCCACTATTTCTGACCAAACAGTTTGATAAAGTAAATAT